CACACTTTTAGGTAGTACAAAAAGCAGTGTGTCTTGATTTGTTTGCATTAAGATTTTGTATAATATTGACTGGCGTAACACATATTTCATACTTCCTCCGTTCCAAATTAGTTGCCATGTTTCTTTTGTCTTTTGTCATGTTTGTCAATGCATAGATTTAACCGTAAATATCCCTAATTTTCAATAAGTAATAATTATAAGAAATTGATATTTTGAAAATACACATGGAGAGGGGTGTAACAGGATTCCACGTGACTATGTCTTTTCATATCTAAAAATCATAAAAGCTAGTCAAAGTAGAGTTTGTGAATACTGTCAAAAATCAAAACGTGTCAACTAAGGCTCAGTATTTCATAGCATCCAGCAAGCCTCTTATGTTTGCTTTATCTATCATATCAAAACACAATCTATTAATTCATGAAAAGTTATATATGTATGCATATTAAATTCCTTTTGCGACTTTGCATATGCAGATGTGTTACCACCATCTATCATCATACATCTTCAAAATAAATGTCATATCATCTTTAGAAAAGAGTCGTATTATGATAGTTTGGAAAGTAAAAAATAATAATAATATTTCCTTTATGCTGACCTTTTCTGATTTCCTCTATTTTACAGTGAAACACTAATTATTTTCTTTATTCCTCAAGTTGTGAATTTCATCTTGTCACTTCCCCAGGTTAGATTTTCCTTTCTTCTCTTCCACTCATCTACTCTAGAGCATTTCTAATGTGTGCTGTGACTTCTTCCAGCTTGCGAAAATTATTCCTTGTCCCCGGCATCGTCTCCCAAGGTAATTTTATTCTATTTTCTCGACCATTGGTTCATAGTCCTCCAACCTCACCTGACAATATTTTTGGATGGCAGTTTTGACCCTCAAACAGGACTGTTAACGGGGACATGGGATGGTACTTTAGTGAACTTTTCATTGAAATTTTGTGGAAGCATGTCTGAACAATCGCTCTGCATTTTTCTCCTCGTTCTCCAGGTGAGCCTCCTAGCTCCTCTGCAACCTCACCCCCCCCCCCCACTCCCTCTCCCCAGCATACACACATAATTGAAAAGCTTAGCAATGCATCTGGATGTTGTCCGGAAATTCATACTATAAAGATATTCCAAGTAAAATGTGCATTTTTGTCCACCAATGCCAGAGTATGATCTGTTCTTTTCTACAGGCAATTGCTTGCGGTTTTTGTTTCTTGCTGCGGTGGCTGCTTGCTGGCTGGTACAAATAAGATCTCGATTAGAAAAAGAAAATCGATATGAGATCATTATCAGCAGTTTTATTACACAAATAGGTGGTTCACTTGTGTAACTCACACTTGGAGAAGCCTGACGGGAGAATTTTGGTAAAAACAGTAGAGTGAAGGCCGACAGCCAATAGTCATAGAAATTCATGCAGCATTCACACTGCATTGTTGCAAAACTACATCAAGTTCAAATTCTATATATTTCATTATCTCAAGTAGAGATCTTGCGAAGCGTATATTTCCATTTTTTACCCAGGGAAAACTGTTTAAAATGACATGTTGAGATTCTCAACTATATTTACTTGAATCAATAGTTTTGCAGCAGCAGTTGGATTCTTTTCTTTTACCATTTTCTGTTTTGATATTCTCAAACAATAAATTGCTAGTGGTAGTTCAGATTAAGTACTCCTATTATTAACAATTTAAAATGTCACAACTATTTTTCATATACTCCGTATCTGATTCAAAACTAAAGTTGTGTAACTATATGAAGGCCAATTGACCAGATTGGTAAATAAAAAAGACCATTAGAGACAATTTGGTAAAAAAAAACTTACTCCGACGACAATTTGGTAAATAAAATAATCTCAGGAGACAATTAACCCAAAAATACAAAAAATTTCGATAAATTACTCGCGAATGCTTAATATAGTTCGTTTTTCTTGTTATTTTACCAACCCTTTTTTACGGAAATAACAATTTGAAGAAAAAAAAACGTTAAGTATCAATTTTCAGTTAAGTTTCAAAATTTTAAATGGAAAAAATAAATTTAAGAACACAAAACAAATTAAAATAGGATTTTTAAAGAGTTTTTCGGGAAAAAATAGATTTTTTGGTCTAAATGTCGCCGAAGTTTATTATTTTTACCAAATTGTCGCCGGAGTAAGTTTTTTTACCAAATTGTTGCTAGATGTCTTTTTTATTTACCAATCTGGTTAATTGGCCCTAGGGGTGAGCAAACCGGGTACCCGGTCAAAATTTTAGGACCCGGACCCGGAATTGGTTGAAACCGGGTCCTAAAATCCGGAACCGGAATTGGAATTGGTTTAACCGGGTCCTAAACTTTAGGACTTGGAATTGGAACCACCGGGTAACGGTTCCGGTTCCGGGTACCCACAAACGTAAATAATTATTAAAATATAATATAAATTATAATACTTATTTAAGTTTATTTTAATTTTTAGCGTTTAACACTTGTATTTATATGTGCATTAAGATATTTTATTTATATTAGGTATTAAAAATATTTTTTTTATTTTACTAACTAGATACATTTAACATAATTTTATATTAAAAAACTTATTTAGTGTATCATGTGTTGGGTAACCGGGTACCCAACCGGTTCTGGGTCCCAAAAATCAAGAATTGGAATTGGAACCGGTTGCAACCGGTTCCTAAATTTATTACCCGGAATTGGAACCACCGGGTCCAATTCCGGCTCCGGACCCACCGGTTCCAATTCCAATCCGGGTACCCGGAAATTTTGCTCACCCCTAATTGGCCCTATATGAAGCTAAAGTTTGGCTACAGACAAACTGGTCAAAATTGCTGTTATAGGTTCGTAGGAAATTGAGGAAACCCTTTTTTTTTTTTTTTTTTTTTTTGAAAGAAGGGGAAACACTCTAAATTAGATACCACTAGTTTTCCCCTCAAAAAAAATAAATAAATAACACTAGATTAGATCGTGTGTCATGCACAGTAAGTCTTTTTCTTTTAAAAAAAAAGTTTATTATATTAAAAGGCAAAGAAAAGGTTTATATTTTTTTTTTTAAAGAAAACCTTCAAAAAAAATTAAAAATTGTAAAATTACAGGAATGTTATACAAAAAATTAAATCAATTTTTATAGTTTTATAAAATTTCAAATCAATACTATGAATAGAAATGTTTCTTTCCCAACGATCCCCACTACTGTACAATTGCAATGGTTTTTCTGATGTTAATTTTTGTAATAAATTCGTATTTTATACGTTACTTAAAAATGACGATCAAAGTTAGTACGTGAATATTGAGTGACAGAGTATAAAATATATTCCTGGATTTCAACTATCAGCTTAAATTTATTTATTTAGGTCAAATATGTCATTTATTTAGGAATAAGGGGTTTTGGCAAAATCTAATACTCCGTATAAAAGATGATTATAAAAGAGTTGAATCTGTTAAAAAAAAAAGATATGGAATAATATAAGTAAATGCGAGTGTATGAAATAATTAAGAATACCAAATCACAAAGTTTCATATGCAGCTGGTCGCACCATACGGCCAGCCGCAATACAATTTTTTTATTTTTTTTTCTCTCTCTTCTCTATCTCCTATTTACTTTCTTGTTTTCTTCTTCCCACTTAAACATGCCCATTTTCTGAACTTTCTTCTATCTCTCCTCTCTCCTCTCTCCTCTTTTTCTCTCTCCTCTTTCTCTCTCCTATTTTCATCTTTTTTAGTTAGCCCACTTAAAATAAACAAGTTAAATGGAGCAGCGGTGGTAGGGGGTAAGAAAGCTCCTCGTAGTCCAAGCTAGAGGTTTTAAGGCCAAATCCAGCCATAAAAACTCTAGATCTAGAGTTTTTATGGCTGAATTTGGCTTTTTAGCCATATTTCAAGTGAAATTCGAAGCCAATATTAATTTTGAGGTATTTGTTCGATTTTTTTTTTTAACAATTTAAATTTATTTTGTGGTTGTGGGTTCGGTTTGGTTAGATCTTGGCGTGGTTGTTAGTGGTACGGGAGTTGGTGGTGGTGTGGTGGAGTTTAAGGTTTTGAGGACTGCGATTGAGAAAGGTTCGTGTTGGTGATGGTTACGGTGGGTTTGGATGTGGGTAAATGGTTACTAGGTCGGGGGTTACTAGAGGTTACTAGGTTGGTCAGGGTTTACTAGGCCGGGGTTATAAGGGGTACTAGGTCGGTTATGAGTTACTTGGGGTTACTAGGTTAGGGGTTACTAGGTCTGTTAGGGGTTACTAGGTCGGTCAGGGGTTACTAGGGATTACTAAGTCGGTTAGGGGTTACTTGGGGTTACTAGGGGTTATTAAGTCTGTTAGGGGTTACTAGGGGTTACTGGTCGGGGGTTACTAGGTCAGTCAGGGGTTACTAAGTCAGTCAGGGACTCAGGGGTTACTCTGTCTAGAGGGTTACTAGAGGAGTTACTTAAGAGGGGTTATAGATTATGGGTTACTTGGGGTTACTAGGTTAGGAGTTACTAGGTCTGTTAGGGGTTACTAGGTCGGTTAGGGGTTACTAAGTCTGTTAGGGGTTACTAAGCCTGTTAGGGGTTACTAGGTTGGGGGTTACTAGGGGTTACTAAGTCAGTCAAGGGTTACTCTGTCTGGAGGGTTACTAGAGGGGTTATTTAAGAGGGGTTACTTGAAGGGTTAATGATATGACACCTTACCGCACCAGAAACGCGCTGATACCAAATAAAAAATAATATTTACGTAGTTTGAAAATTTTGGAATAAAATTATTATAGTTAAATAGTACAAATCTCTCTCCCGGTGTTTATTGAATATTGTACTAAGTTATTGATTGCTATACTTTGTTAAGTACTCATTATTTGCAATTTTGAGTATGGAAAATGAAATTTTGTGGTTGCTTTTTTTCCCCCTAATTTAACATGCAAGGCTGAAGTACAATACTTTTTGTATAATCACAAAAGTTTCCTTGTTTCTCTCCTGTTGCCCTAATTACTGTCATTCGCAAGTGCTGCAATTTTAGTAAAATGGAGAAGTATATGGCTTTCAATTCATGTTGATGTAACCAAGTGAATATCACTATTTTTTTGTATAGATTAGTAATGTAGGATACAAAAATAAAATTCCTTTCATGTAACTCTGCACCTATCATGAACTAGCCCGCTAATAGCTAACTGTTTTAACATGTTTCATACAAGCAGATTTTGCAATCTAATACAAGCAGATTTTGCAATCTACAAAAACCTATTGTCAGATCAGCTAATACAAAATTGCTAAACTGACCCTTAGCCTAGGTCCATCGACTTTTCTTCAGAGGGGACACTGCTTGACCAGAGCTTAATTGTTCGATCATGTCCAACTGTAGCAATGCATTGTCCATCTGTATCACCACAAAAAGAGACGATATAAGGAACCTGAAAAGATTTATCCTTTGAGTGGGATGGGGGTGGGGGAGAATATGAACACGAACTTAAATAATAAGTTACTTTTAAATTATACTTTGTACATATATAAGCAAGATTAAATGCGATATAGATTGCACTTCTTAATTAGTTCAATGTGATACAGCCTGTGTACTTTGTACAATTCAGTTGGTTTTATGAAATTGATGCAAAGCTAAGACAACATTCATATAAAACTGACCAACATAGCATAGCTTTACATATACTAATTTTTTAGCAATATTAGGAGAGCAACTGAATATATGAATATCCTAAAGAAAGTGTTCCATTTTGCTCAGAATTCAGCTGATCATCCTTAAACATTCAACTTACCACTCCTAATTTTGAGGCCTAAAGATCTCTACTAGTATAACCACACTCAGACCCCTGTATAAACTAGCTAAGATTTAGTTGACAGGCATACACGGAAAACTGCTAATTAATCCTCTTATCATTCCATCATAAGTTCATGACCTAGTAAGATTTCTAGGGACAAATGAATTTAGATTTCGAATGGTAACTTCCAAAGATAATTCCACATAGAACAGAGTGACAGCCATGAAGAGACTATCATGGGATGCTGCTACTGCCTACAACTTCCCAAATTTCATGCACCACTTTTACTAATAGTTTGTCAAAAGAAAAGATCTTACCTCCTGTAATATCTACGGATGTGACTCTTGATTCACATCCGGATAAAGTCTTGATAAGCTTGAAGTCTCGAGATGACCATACCTGATGAAATAGAACCAAATGAGAAAATATTACTAACAACTGGAACAAAACACACTAATTGTTTTAATCAGTTAAAAGTAATTTAGTGCCAAGACTCATACCTTAACAGTTGTATCGTATGAAGAAGTGACCAAGTAATATCCCTCTTGGGGCTCAAATTTGACCTCTGAAATAAGCTTAGAATGGGCGGGGATTATGTACAAGGACTTTTTCTTTCTCAAATCCCAGATTCGGCAGGTATTATCTTCGGAGCCGGTGGCCAAATGATAGCCATTAGGAGAAAAATCAGCCCCATAGACCTGAGAGAAGAGATACCAAGTGAGTAAACTATCAGTGTGTATAGCATAAATTGTACATGAGCATAACAAGAGAAGAAATTTACAGGTTTGATGTGTCCTTCCAAAGCGAGAACACTTCTTCCTGTTCGAAGATCCCAGACACGTGTGAGAGAATCCAGTCCACAGGATGCTACCAAGGATCCATCTAGATGAAAAGCTATGCCATAAACACTCCTGCTATGGCCTTCTTGAAGAAGCAACTCTGCACCACTTTCAATATCCCATAGACGCCAAGTTTTGTCAAAACTTGTGGTGCCCAAGTACTTTCCGGATGGATGGAAGGCAATACGAGCTAAGCGATCTAAATGACCTTCAAATGTTCTCACTAATGTACCATCTGTATTCCACAACTTTGCAGTACGATCAGCAGAGGCAGTTGCTACAATGTCACTTACAGGAGAAAATGCAACATCAGTAGCATGCACAGTGTGTCCCTTCAAGGCAGAGACCCTCTTCACTTCAGGCATACTCCATATCTTAGCAACTCCACTAGAAGAACTGAAAAGGACAAAACAAGCAATAAAATCACAATCAGTATTCTCCTTCATCATGCGGCTCATTACTCTCATAATTTAGAGAAATGATTATAGGCTATTTAAATGCAAATCTAAGCATCATATCTTCAAATCTTGAGAAATAATAGATTAGTCAGCTCATATCCATCAATCTACAAAGCCAACTGTCTTCATAAATTATATATGAAGTTGGACAAAGTGACTCGTCTAATTTTACCTGATTTCCATACCATCAACAGTCACAACATTAAAAAAAAATAAAAAAATAATTCCTCACACTAGTTAAAAACAGGAAAAACTCTCCTTTTCTGTTACTTCCTCCAAAACTCTATTACACAACTCATATCGCAGTACATCATCTAGGGAGCACATGGATAGCAGTCCGTTATCTGTCATTCTATAATTTTAATTCTTACACTGGTTAATTCATTGATGACAAGAAGATACACTGGTTAATTATTAGAATACTTCTCTTCAAAAAGATGTTGAAATTCCAGTTCACAAAAATTCAGTTTCCCCATGGATTTTCTTTCACCAGCTTTTGCATATTCAAACACAACACATCCCAATTCTTTGTATAAAAAAGTCAAATTTTCAGTATCTTTCCTTTCTAGAACATAACAGCAAATTAAGAAGTTAATTTAAAGCATACAGATCAAAATTTGACCATACTGTCCTGAAATTTAATTCTAAAAGAGGGCTAAGGAACGAATACATCATAGAGCTTGTTATAGTTCATAACTATTTCTTTCATCATTTTCAGCAAATGGAAAGAATAGCCTCCTCCTCCCAAAACATATTGAAAATTAAAAGCAAATAAAAAAGAAAGAAGTATTGTGAAGATTCAGACTTCTGAATGACATAAGAATGAAAAAAATAAAAAAAAAAAAAATAAAAAAAAAAAATCAATACAAAAGGGCAAGAGGAAGAATTTTAAAAATAAATTTTCCTGGATAGATGTAATAATTCAACATCTTGGTTTCATGGATAAATTATCTTAATCACATATCTTACAACAGAACCACAAATATTGATATACATCTCGTATCAAGCCACAAATCACACCCTTTATATGAAGTCCAATTTGCTAGTTTTGACAAACAAAATAGGATGATAATCAACCACAACATCTTCAAGTATCAATCACTTTTATTATGATAAAGGAAAAAGTAACCTCCAACCAGGCAAAGATAGATTACAGAACTAGAGAACGTACCAGGTAGCAAGAAAATTCCCATCTTTTGAAAACGAACAACCCCCGAGTGGGCGGTCATCACCAATCTCACTAGAATCAAGAACAAAAGTCTCTGCCTGTCTAAGAGCCCAATCAACTTCAGCATCTTCATCTTCATCTGGATCATCTCTTTTCCTTCTTGCACGCTGCAGATGCTGAGATGCTCGAACAATAGAGAACTTCGCTATAAACTTCCGAGCCTCCAACAATTCTTGGGTCCCCTCTGTATAAAATGGGTACTGAAACATTTCTTCATCGACCTCATCCTTAGCTGAAGCTGCTTCTTCCTCTTCTTCATGGGCTTTCATAAGCTTTTCCAATTGCCCTTCAGCATCAAGCTTAGCCATAAGCATCCGCAGCCGGTCCCTTCTTTCCATCTCTCTCTCCCCAAAGAGAGTAATGGGTTCACCAAGCCGCCGAAGCCTAGTCCGCACAGCTACGTCATTTGTGGGGACAGCTAAAGCAGCAGCGCGTCTTTTCATCATGAATTCCTTCATCGCTTTCTCCTGACGTTCCCTAACAGCCCGACTCTCCTCTGTAATTTCATACCCAACAGAGGAATCTTGCGCATCCATTTCTGAACCCTGGTCATCATCCTCAGAATCCGATTCCTTTGCCTCACCATTTTGAGTAAGGGAAGGACGGGCAGGGAGAGGGGCTAATGGTCTAGATGTTGCAGGAGGAAGAGGCGCGATTGATGGGACCAGCACCGGAGGTGGAGCTGACAAAGGGGCGACTGCAGAAGGAGCTGATAGCGGGACAGCAGGCGGTGTAATCATAGGGGATGTAAGAGTAGCAGGACCCATGATATCAGTAGCTGGTTCAGAAGTAGCCAGCATCTCAGTATCAGTTCCTGGAGGAGTTGGTTCAGCAACTGAAGCAGAAGAAGGATTCTCTTCATCTACCTCCATTATGCCTATATAAGTAACAAAATAACCATTTAGCCCATCAATGAAATTCACAGCTAAATACTACCTCCATTACATATTATTTGCAACGATTCTCTACTTAATCGTTGCAAATAATATGATACAGACGTAGTAATAACATTATGATTAATATTACATCGACTCTTCCTTTCTCCTCAATTACCCATGTCAGACCCTCGACACTCGGACGTGGGTATGACACTTGGACACGATTTCATGCCGGGGAAATGGTGGAATTTGCCAGCGCCATTTTATCAATCATTTTTTTACATGGTATCTCGAAAAATACATGATTTTAGGCAAATTAGGCTCATAATTTTGGTTATGATGTTTCATAAGCTAAGAATTTAGAAGCAATAGTTGAGATTTACGAACCCTAAACTCAAAGCAGTGATAATTAAATTAGATTAGATGAAACATAAACCCTAGATTGCGAAATTGATATGATATGATATGATATGATATGATGATAACAACAAGAAACAACTTACCTTAGAAGCTGCTTCAATGGGGGATACAAGAATTAGATTCAACGAACTGCGCTTCAAGCCTTCAACGGAGAACGTGAACTGCGCTGCAATGGAGAACGTTAAGTGCGCTTCAGTGAAATAACTAAGAGGAGAGAGGTAGGGAATGGAGCCCTGTTAAAACTTAGGGGGTGTGTGGTTCACGTAAAGGGATAAAGTATGAGTTTAGAATAACTTAAATTCATACCTTATGTTTGTTTTACGATTTTAAGAATTTTAAACTCATATCTTAGGGAGAGGTGAGTTTGGTTCATTTTCATACTTTTACGTATCAAATAAAAGAAGAAAAGAGTTTTTCTACACAGTATCCCTAAAGTATTCACTTTTCTAAGCTGTGCCCACCCATTTTCAAAATTCCACACTGTAACCCCAAGGCACCTTTATGTGTACGATGTAACCCCTCATTAATCCTAAACTTAACACCGTTAACTTTTGTTAAAAAGTCTATTTAAAATTAAAAAAAAAAAAAAAAAAAAAAAAAAAAAAAAAAAAAAACCTCTCTCCTGCAAAGCCACCCACGCACCACCAACCCTTCCCTCCTCCAAACTCACCCGCCCAGCGAACCAACCACCAGACTTCACCCCAGCCACCGCACCACCCTACGAACCACAACCAGCCCAACGCACCGCCGAAACAACAACAGCAATTCGCCGCCGATTCGACCACCAAAAATCTGATGCTTGAACCCTAAAGGATGACAAACTCCAATCCTTTACCCTTTCACCCTCAAATTGACTGGAATCGACCATTGAAACCCCAAATGGTCGATTTGGTCGTTTAAAGGGTGAGGGAAAGGGGGGGTGGTTTTGCGCGGTAGTGGTTGGGCCTGAGGTGTTTTGAGTTGGGCTAGGGTGATGCATCAGCTGCGGAGTTTGGGGTTGGGCTAAGGTGGTGCATCGGCTGGGGTAGGTGGGGATGGGAGAGCCAGTAGATGTTGCCAGCAGTGGCAGTGGTGGTGGTGGGGCTAGTTAGGGTTAGGGCTGGGTTCAATTTTCTTCATGGTGGTTGGTGTGTGGCGGTTGTGCTAGGTGTGGTGGTTGTTGGTGTGTGGCGGTTGCTGGGTGTGGCGGTGGCTGGGTGCGTTAGTTAGGGTGGTTAGGGATGGGTCGTGAGGGCTGAGTTTTGGTGGTGAGGCAACATAAAACTAATGACAATAGCTAACGACAACTTAACGGCAGGGTTACATCGTACGTACACACTAAACATACCATGGGGATACAGCATGGAATTTTGAAAATGGGTGGGCACAGCTTAGAAAAGTGAATACCTTAAGGGTACCGTGTAGAAAAACCCAAGAAAAAAATTGCATTCCAAAATCGTACCAAACATATGGCATTAAGAATCAAGTTCTAAACCCATATCACTATAGTTTCATTCCTGATTTCAACCCCACACCAGTTTGCGAAACAAACGCCCCCTTAAAAGTAATGACCCGCCACAACTATAAAACACAAGAGAGTGAGGGATAGTTTAAGTGGTTAGAGCTCTCCTATATTCAGGTGATCATAAAATTGATTCTCATCATCGTAAGGGGGTGTTTGGTTCGCAGATTACAGGTATGAGGTATGGGTTTAGAATGACCAAATTCATATCATATCTTTGGTTGTCAAAAATATGATTTTTAAACCCATATCTTAAACCCATGAGGTATGATTTTTAAACCCATACCTTAAACCCATGAGGTATGGGGTTTAAAAACCTTGGGGGAGGTGGGTTTGGCTCATTCCATTCTCTTAGGTATCAAATACATGAAATTAAGGGGATGATATTCCAAATTCCAATCCAGATTTGAACCAAACACATGGTATTAAGTATCAAGTTCCAACCCAATATCACCTTAACCCTATTTCTGATTCCAAACCTATACCACTTTGCGAACCAAACACTCCAAATAAAGTTCAAATATAAATCAGGGCTACTCACGTTCAATTTATAACTAAAATAAGTTTTAATAAGAGCTAATAAGATAAGATAACTTCAGATAAGTAAAAATCAGGTAAATAAAACGCACCCTAAATTTACAATAATAAAAATATTAAAAACAATAACCAGTGATTTAATCTAGTCTTTTAGTTTAATGAGGTTTCTCCAAAACCTCAATCCTAAATTCATTCTCATACTTTTAGAGATTGAGATATAGGAAAATATATGTGTGATATATTTCTCGTAGATATTATTAAGAGAATATAATATATTTAGGTTTATTTTATGTTAAGATATTAGTTAGAGAATAAATCTTCAAGATTTATAATTATGCTAGTATATCTTTTAGTAAGATTGTTTTCTATATTATGAGATTAGGTTTTGTATAAATATTATACCTATTGATCAATAATATACAAGTCATTCAATTATCTCTTCACCCTAATTTGTCATCGTATCAAGAGCAGGTTACAATTTTTTCAAAATAAAACGATTTGAGGAAAAGAATGGAGGTAGAATAATTCTTTCAAAATATCGATTCTTTCTATATTGAGAAAAAGAACTCTAGCTTCCCTACAAATTCATGAGAAAAAGAATTTCCTAATACAAGTTCCTTAAAAACTTGTTGGTGGATTCCTACTTTCTTTGTGCCTAATCGTATAATGTCAATTCTCACTTCTTATGATTGTCAAGCATATTCACAACATGCTAAAGTAGGCGCACTTCAATTGACACCTACAGCTAATTACGGGTTAAAATAGTTCAAGTTTAGCAAATTTTTGCAAGGGTTTTAAACGGTTTTGGTTTTAAATGGGTCTAGTAACTAGCTATCGGGTTCGAACGTAATCGATTCGGGTTGTTTTCAGTTTCGGGTTGTAACAATTTGGATTGATAACGGGTCGAGTTATTGAAGCGGTTTGCACAAATTCGGTTTGGTTGAGTTTGGATTTGAAAAAATTGGGTCATTATCAATTTGGGTTGATATCGCATTCGAACGTAATAAGTTCGAGTTGTTTTCAGTTTTGAGTTGTAATGATATGGCTTGATAACGGGTAGGGTCATAATGGTTTGCACAAATTCGATTCGGTTCAATTTTGGATTGGACAAAATAAGGGCAGGTCACTTTCGGTTTTCAAAAAAAGGGTTGTTAACGATTCAGTTCCTTTTTCAGTTCAGTTTTGAAATAATCGATTATAACGGTTCGAGTTAGAAACTAACAACTCTACGGTAGATACTTTGCGTGACTAAATATCTTTTGACTTTTTCTAAAGAACTACCCCATATTTCTATCTTTTGGTATTCCAATAACCCACCATTGAATTACCAATTTGCCAAATATGATTAAGGCCAATACTAAATAGCTATATAGGGCTACTTGCTCTTTTCTTTCTTTCCAAATATTAGTAAACACGTAACGCTAAATGGACCTCACTTTTACTGAACACATGGAAAACCTCAATAAGCTACAACAGCTAATAAGCACGCCTTTGTTTCTCCTCTTTGGATTTAGCAGCCCTATAAACACAATATTGTAGCTTTCAACTTTTTCCTTATTCCTCGTTCCTAAAGTTCTAAAGAGTCTTTCCCGTCAAAAAAAAAAAGTTCTAAAGAGTCTTCATCATCAAATCAATTAATAGCTTATTTTTTTTAAAAAAAAAATTGAAACTAGTGTGTACCCAGCGATTCCGGGAATATTAATTATGCATAATTGGTATACTAATTCCTCACAATCCGTCCACAAAAATTCGATTGGGAAGAGATTTTTTTTTTTTTTTTGAAGCTTAAAATTGCTAATGACGTTAACGGTTTAATATAATGAATTGCTATTATTGTTACCACTAGCAGTATTAGTGGTTTTACTAATATTATTCCCTCCGTGTTTTTGTGAGTGTTACACTTTGACCGCCATATAATTTTAGGCAATTTAAGTGACTTAAATAAAATACTCGTAAAAGGTAAGTAGGGTAGTTGAATTATTAAAAATAGTACTAAGGGGCCGTTTGGTTGGGGGTAATCAGGAAAGGGAATGGGAATCAACTGGCCAGATTCCCTTTGTTGATGTTTGTTTAGCACTTTTATTCATTCCCTTTACCCTCCCCATTACCCCAAATCATTCCAACTTCATTCCCCACCCCCTAGGTATTTCCATTCTCATTCCCTACCCACCTTCACACCACCACATCACCACCTTCACCTACCAACACCACCGGAAAACCAGCCCAGACCACTGTTGCCCCTACCCTGACCACCGTCGCCCCCCCGACCACCATCGATCCTCCCCCGAGCCTCGCCACCCTCCCCTCCCCCGCAAAAACCACCCCTAGCCCCGCAAAACCCTAGCCCCGATCTCCCTCGACCCCGAAAACCGTCGCTTTTGAGGGTGGTGGGAGGTCCAGGCGACGGTTTTCGGGGTCGAGGGAGATCGTGGCTAGGGGTGGTTTTTTCGGGAGAAGGAAGTTCGATGCAGGCGCGGCTAGCGGGGACGTGGGGAAGGGGAGGGCTTGCGAAGGGCGGCGAGGGGAGGGGGAGAACCGGCAAGCTAAGGGGCGGGGGAGGGCCGACGAGGGGTTTGGTGGCTGAGAAAGATGAAAAATTAATGAAATAATGTGTGGTGGTTGTGGTGGTGGTGGTGTGGTGGTGGGATTGATTCCCTTTGTTATAAAAACAAACAACTAACAAAGCAAAAATAGGGTATTTTCATTCCATTCTTCTCCTTTCCCTTTGTTCATTCCATTCCGATTCCCTCGTGCGAACCAAACGACCCCTAAAAGAAATATACTGAGGTTAATAGTTTGTTGAAAAGTAATGAATGTGAGAAGAAAGAAATAGTAATACTCCCTCCGTTTTTAAATATTTGCTCCATTTTTTCCATGCGCTGAGTTTTAGGATAAATTGGAGAAAGTAATAAAGTATAGAGATAGTGAGGTTAGTAGAAGGTAAGTTGGAGAAGAGAGAATCTAATAGTAATAAAATTTGGTCCACTAGTTGAGAGAAATGAATTAAATATTATAAAAGTTTTTCAAATAGGGAAATGGAGCAAACATTTAAAAATGGTTATAAAAGAAAAGTGAAGCAAGTATTTAAAAACGGTTGTAAAAGAAAAGTGGAGCAAGTATTTAAAAAACATAGAGAGTAATAAAAATAAAAAGTAGTGGATTTGGGTGGGGACCATGAAAGAAGAAAAGTAAAAATATTAAAATGCAGGGGTAAGGTGTA